AGCAAAACTCTCCCCACACGGAACCCCCAGCCCCAAAGACACCCAGCCACAACAGTGTGAATTCCTCAGGGAGGCGCCAGTCTCATCCTCTTCTAGCTCCCCCGCTCCTCCGGCAAGCTAAGAAAATGTTTATCTCTCTGAGCCTGGCCTTCATAATTCCATTCCATCACAGGCAGGCTGCCAAGCACCCAAATTTTGATCATGTAACTGCAGTGGCGCAGCAGTGACCATAACTTCAAGGACTAGTCATAAGTACCATTCATTCAGCCCTGTCGAACGGTTGCTAAACAAATGGTCATTAAGCAAGGACTACCTGTTCCTGTAACCAGAATGGTGTTGTATCAATTTTATTTGTTACTAATGCAAAAAGGAAGTGTATACGATTTATGTATTTAGTGAATTTATGTCTGCTGCAATCTGCCAGACTCTCAACAGTGACTGAGTGGGAAGAAGGGTGCTGCCCTGCCAGCCTAGGCAAAATATTGTTTTAACCAATATTGCTTCTTTTTAAGTATCACCTGTGTTGAAACAAGTGGAAATGGCTATCACAGCTTCAGCCTCAGTGAACTGAGAATTCTTGTTTGGCTTTTCCTTGTAGTGGGAGCATTCAGTAAACCAGGGTTTTCTGTAAAAGAAACTCTGGATGAACTTGCCAAGCAGTCAGCTGAGCTCCTCCTGGGGGATGGTGCTGCCATCTTCTTCTTTTTCTTTAAGGCTTCAGTGGCAGTTAGGATTGCTCTTAGTTTTATGAACAAATTCATTCTTAGAAATCTTTCTGGAAATGGGGTTCTCATATATTAAGCCATAATATGATTTATTTAGGTGGTTCGGTATATTATATGAACTCAACCAATTACTGCTCTTTCCCCATCATGATGATTAAGCAAACTATGGCTTAGCAAAATGTGTGAAGCTGCTTTTTAACATCCATCTGTGCATCTTAGAGGTTGAATATGGAAAAAAAAAAAAGCTTGAAACTTGGAGAAATGCATTATTGGCCAAGGGGCACCCCCAAAGCAGGCAGAAAATAAAGCTAGGATAACACAACATGCTAGGCCAAAATGTGCCTTGTCTGGCTTGGCATCTTGTGTGAACCAAGCTAATTGCAATTTATTCTTGAAACAACAATTAGTGATTCAAATCTGAAGATATTATGGGAATGGAATGCACTTGCAGTCTCCCCTTTCCAACCTTTTATTCTCTCTCTCCTCCACCTTGCCTTCCATAAGACTGGTCAATGAAATCTTATCTGAAGAGCTGAAATGCATTCATGCCTTCGAGCAGAGAACACTGACCCCTGAACAATGGGCAAAGGAACAAGAAGCTAAGTGAGACAGGCTTCCTCCTCTTCTTCGGTCACAAAAGCAGCAAACAATCCAGAGACCAAAAACTCCGAGATGATAGAGAACCAGCTGTGAATGGAACTTAACAATGCAGGAATTGCTTCAGTGGGAACACTATGACAGTTTGAAAGAGCATGAAGCAAAAAATAAAACTGGAAAAAGTTTGAGAGATAACTTTTGGTGTTACCTGTTTATTCCTGCACCAAATATCTTGAAAACCTACTTTAATATTTAATTTGCACTAGGGAGAAAAAAGCTAGCATTGTCCTACTAAGGGAGTGTTCTTTTCCTTGAACTTCTAAATCTGAAAGATGAACACCTTTGGAGTTCTTGGTGCTCTCTGAGTTTGGTTGTTTGCTTGCAGACATTTCATTATCCAACTAGGTGACATCACCAGTGCGAGTGAGCGTGGAGTTTGCTAGCTGTTTATATGCAGTAGCTTGCCCTGCCAATTTTGGGGTGGGGGTGTAGTTTGGTGATTCCTTGATAGAGTACAGGTAGTCCTCGCTTACCAACATTCAGCGACTGTTCAAAGTTACAACGATGCTGAAAAAAATAACTTTACAGGCCATTTATGACCTTCACAGCATCCCTCAATCACATGATCACCATTACAGTCAGTACACGTTGTCTTGTGCCTGACCTGTGGTTTTTTCTTTTTTCCCCTCTTGCAGAGCAGATTGATTGGAGAGAAAGGGATTGCAAGAAAGTAAGCTGTTTTCTCTTCTACACATGGAAAGCAATGCAGTCACCGGTGTGCTACACAAACAGCTTACAGTACTCTCTTCAAATCTCTTTCTTTCCAATCCCTCTGCTCTGCTGAGGGGGGGAGGGTCAGGCAAAGGAGAGTGCCTACAGAAATTGCTTGCTTTTTTTCCTCCCCCTATCTCACAGAGTGGAGAGATTGGAGAGGAAGAGATGTCAAGAGTACTGTAAGCTGTTTGCATAGCGCATCCACAGCTCCTAGCCCTGGGCTGCTGGTGCAATTGCATTGCTTTCAATGTGTACAAGACAGTAAACAGGCACTCAAGCATTCCAAAGGGGGGGCAATGGTTAGGAGACAGACAAAAGCCGAAGGTGTGAAACTGACTAGTCTTTCCAGTCTGAAAGCACAGTCGCGGTCATGTGATTTCCCACTTAGCAGCCGCTTTGCTTAGCAGCGGAGTTGCTGGTCCCAATTAGGGTTGTTAAGCAAGGACTACCTGTATTGATTTCTGCCTGATAGTTTGGTTTTGATACCTGCTTATCTGAGTGTTGGCTGCTGGAGGGGATAAAATGATACATCCAGAAACGGATCATTTATGCTGATACAATAAAGCAGCATAACCAATTCTTAGGGAGGGCTATCTCTTACCATCCCTGCTTTCCAATCATTTCTTAAGAGTCCTTTGTAGGAGGAGAGTGGTTAGTCTGTGGTGGCAAAAATCAGGAGTCTGGCAGCACCTTTTCCAACTAACAAATTTTATTAAAAGGCATAAGCTTATTGGACACTGACACAGAACTCAAAACAAGGACAAAGTAATGCAGAGCATTCAGCCTCCCAGGAGACTCTGTGACAGATCTCAAAATGATTTTTTTTTTTGAAAAATAGAACTTTTAACAGCACCATTGAATAAGAAATTATTGTGCTCACATACATCTAAAGGTTTCAGACAATCTCAGGTTTCAACAATGGGTTTTTAACATACTAGAATTATTAATTGATAGGGTACTTGTAACCTCTCTTATATGTCACCTGTGTCTGCATAATCAACTTGACTTTTCCTTCCTTCCCCTACCTCACTCCAATTTAAACCCTACATCTATGCATCTTGTGAAGTGAGCAGCAGCTCACAAAAGCTTATGTCTTTTAATAAAATGTCTTTTAATAAAATGTGTTACCTGGAAAAGGTGCTTCCAGGCTCCTCCTGATTTTAAAAGTCCTTTGTGGAAGATGAGAACTCTGCTCTTCTAACTCTGCTTTTATTTTGGAGAAAAAAGAGCCACTGCTGGTAATTTGTCAGCTATTCAAGTTGGCCCTCATACTTAATCAAGAGAGGGGCCATCTAGATTCATCAGATTGTCAATTAATTAATCAATCCTATTAAATTTAAAGGATCAGCTACAAAGCATTGGTGAATACCATGGGTGAAAAAAGAAAGAGCTTTAAAAATGGGTTAGACAAATTCATGGAAGATAAGGTGATCAGGTGGCTCATAGTCATAATAGCTCCGTCAGGTATAAGGTGCCTTTCAATATCAGTCGTGGGGGAGGACAGTGGAGGAGAACTGCTTTCTCTCTTTCCCTTTGGCATCCACAAACGCTGGATAAGATTACGTTAAATTCTTTGTGGAAGTCAGCTTGCTATATAAAAGTAGGCTGTTGCCACATAGTGGCTGATGATTTTAGGCTTGTGTTGTCACTTACGCTATTTGATTATATTTTGGACAGCAGGCGGAAAACTGGATCCCAAGCATAATTGCTATTTAAAACTTGTATATAAAAAGAAGGTCTGCTTTATAACCTTAAAGGATTTGGGTGAATGATAGAGTTTGAATTAAGTATGTAGATGCAAAATTGTTCCAAAGAAACAAGCATAGTTTATTAAGCAATGGCAGACAGGATTTCCCCTCCTCTTTCTCTCGAAGGTGGGAATCTGTCTTCCACTGGGTCGCTCTCTGCAATTTTCAGACACATCTCAGATTGAACAACTGACCAATTAGCTAAAATGCATACTAGTTAATCCAGATGCTTAACTGATCATCAATTAAACATTGTAGCCCTATTAAATCGAGAGAACCACTCCTCACCATGCCCTCAAAAGCAGAATCTAAGAAAGCCGATGTGCAGCATTTCTAAAAAGTCCAGAGGAAGACAATTTGTTTTCTAAGGGAAACAGCAGAGCAGGGACCAGAAGGCAGATACCCAGAATTTGGAGCCCTGGGAAATACAAGCCTGCAGATTGTAAATAGATGGGGTATCAGTTTGAATGCCTTCACAAAGGCTAAGCAAAGAAGTAAATTTCATATCTTTTCAGGTGGAACCTGTTAACTCAGAAAAGGGCTGTCTGGAATGGACAAGCTGAGCTTCTGCCCTGAGTTTAGGGTGGATGAATCTTGATAATGCCCTGAGGATCCACCCATAAAAAGATCAAAGGGGTTTTAAAAGGCCAGTGAAACAAAGTCCATTGTGACTGACGAAGAACCAGACTGGGGAGATAGGGAGGAGCTATTTCTTCACAATCCTCTCCAGCTCTGAGATACGTCGCTCCTGTTCTGACACAGTAGCTTGCAGTCGTTTCAAGTCCTCTGAGAGCTGCTCTAAAGCTGGACCCTAAAGGACACATTACTTAGTTAGTTAACTTTATTATGATTACTGACCAGAATTGAAGAGCAGATTTTATTTAGAAAAAGTATATGCTGCCCACTCCCTTAAAGTAATTTCCAATTTTGACCCAGAGCATTTACTTGTCATTGTTCTAATTATAAGCTTTCCCCACCAATCCTATGCAAACCTTTCTTCTGGCCTAGTGCCACCTTTAAAAAAAATAGAAGCAAAAAGGGGTTGCAGGGTGCATGACTACAGCATCATCACATCCCTACAGTCAGTGGAGATTAGAAATCTTTTCAAAATCCTCAAAACTAGGCCAATTTCTCCCATTTTGGAAGGCTTTAAGGGGCAAAGGCTAAAAAGTTTGACTTCACCTGCTCCAATGATATCAGGTCATCAAGTACACCCACCCCCCAAACCCTTGAGGCACCACGAAAGTCAGATTTTTTCTCACAGGATTCAAGACAAGCTTTCCCTACCATCCACAAAGGCACAAAGAATGTTGGATGGCCATCCAAGAGAAGATAGGGACCATATCTGTTCAATGGGTTGTCTAGGCCAATCCAAGACCCACTAGCCCACAAAACCTTCTTGCCTTTGGGTTTTCCCCTCCTTACCCCTTGCTGTGTCCCTTCGTGAGGAAACTGACTTCTCTTGGGCCCCTGAAGGAGGATCTGGTTAACTTTGAACTCTCGGCTCTTCTGGGGAGTGTAGCCATCCTTGAGGGAAATGAGGATGGGGCTCGCGTTCTTCCCTGCTAGCCATTCCTCTGAAGTCAAGGCAGGATCTGGACCAGCTGTGTCAGGATATAGGTCCTCTTGAAACAGGTCTGACTGCAGAAGCCATACAAAGACACAAGCTGAGTAGAACAATGAGGAAGAACCTCTCCCATCCAGATAAAAAAACCCAGAAATTCAGCCTCTCTCTACACACCCCAAATGGTCACATTCTATTCAGGCAAGCGTTTGTCTATATAATCTCCAGGACCCAAATCCAACCTGACAGCTAACTAAACAATTACCCAAAAGATTGAGGATAAGGCAACGACAGCTTCTTGTTCAGTAGGCAAATGGATGCAGATATCTCAAGAGACTGGGAAGATGGCTTTGCAGCCCTTATTCAGGGATAAAACAGTTGCGTGTATTGAACACAGACTCTGATAATTTTGAAGTAGGTGAGCTCTCTCACGGCCTCAGTGCATTTAGGGCTCTCCAAACCACTTTTCTGGAAGGACTACAGGCTTGGGAGAATCACAGGCTATTTAAAATGGTTTATGTGACTGGGAATCTTGTACTATTGTCTTTACATCTGGATTGAAAACCGAAGAAGAGCACACTAGATCACACCAAAAGATCTAGTGCTAGACTAGATGCTTGCGGGTGCTCCCCAGTATATATGGTCCCAGAAACCAGAGGCCCCGTTTACCAACTATGAGTAATAACCAGGCTGCCTTGAAGGTTATGGCAGCTGAAATTCAACGTATCTGGGGAAAATTGGTCTAGTGGTCATCACATCTTGTGACTGCAAATTTTCTAAATCAAGAGTACATAAGCTTTCTAAGTCAAGGCTCCCTTTTATTATAATGGCTAAGACATTTATATATGTTATTTATAAATGGTGTCTATGCAGCAGTATAAAATCCTTCAGAGACAGAATGGGCAGTTTCCTGTATAGGCTCAAAGAGACTCTAGCCTTACCCCTTTCCTTTCCTGCCATGAACTGTTTTCAGTTGTTCTCCCAATGCCCTTTCCTATAGAACTTAAGAGTGTCTGCTCTTACCTTCCGGGGCACAGTCATAGCAATGGGCTCACATTTCCTCTCATGTAGTTTGTAAAATCTAGAAGGAATAAAAACTGATTCAAGGACAGAGAAAAAAAAAATATTTGGAAAGGTCTCAAGACAAAAAGTCCCAGCCATTATTTTTGCTTGGCCCAAGGAATCTGAGGGATGGAATAACTAGGATGCCATGCAACAGGCTACAAGAAAGTGTCAGGTTTCTATTCAGCGATGAAGCTCGCAGACATTTTGTACAGTTGCTATTTGTCAGTCTCACTTGACACCAGTGTTGGGAGGATAAATAGGGTGGGAGACCAGTTACACCATCTTGACCTCCTAGGAGGAAAGAGGGGAGAAAAACACACGTTCGCTACCTGGCAATCTCGCACTTGCTGACGTCCAGCCCTCGTTTGGGCATCCAACCCCCTCCTCGCTGCGACTCCTTGGAAGTAAACATGGACAAGTAGTGCACGTAGGGTGCTTCGCCGGTCAGCTCAAAGTAGCGGATGCTGCTGTCACCCTGCAGTGAGTTTTGAGGTTTTTAATTTCTCCTTATTACGAGGACTTTGCACTGGAACCAAAGTTTTGCTTCTAGAGTAGGCATCACCAATCTTTTCCCTCCACCCAGGACTCACCTTGCCAGTCAGATAAACCACATTGGTGTCTGGATCATAGTAAGGCAAGAGCACGCCACTGCTTGTGTCTAGCTCCTGAAGAGTCAACGGTTCCTCAGGATTTCTCTGTGGTAAAAAAAGAAAAGAAACTGGGTGAAATTCAGCTGAGTGGAAGGAGGAATTCAAGTAGGAGAAGTTTCAGGTTGCCAAGCCTCATACAGCTGGCAAACCAAGGAAGCAAGAGTTCAGAAAGATATTTTTAGTGCTAGTCTGGGATAAAAACCTTGAAAACTGTAAGAGTAAATTCCCAGCCAGACTTACACTGAGTTAGTTAAGGCAAAATCTCTTTGAAATGCTTGCTTGCTTCCTCCTCACATCCGGGCTATGTTGCCTCTTCTCATGTAAATTGCACTCCTTCCCCATTTCCTTCCCAGTTTCTTACAGATGGTTACAGCTTAGCCATAGTTCTAACTTCAGAAGAAGTATAAAGTTCTTACAAAACATACTTGTGGGTTTCCATGGTCTAAAGAACAACTGAGACAGTTTGATGTAGTGGTTAAGGCACCTGGCGAGAAACTGGAAGACTGTGAGTTCTAGTCCTGCCTTAGGCCAGCTGGGTGACCTTGGGCCAGGCCCTCTCTCTCAGCCCTAGGAAGCAGGCAAGGGCAAACCACTTCTGAAATCTTGCCACGAAAACTGCAGGGACTTGTCTAGGCAGTAACCAGGAGTCAAGACTGACTTGAAGGCACCCAAAAAAACCCCAAACTATCCAGACTTCTGAGCAAGAATCTCTGATTTTGCTCTTCTCTCTGGGTAGAATTTCAGGAAAGTCTCTTTGCAACCTTAAACCCTGCCCCTCCATCAATAACAGAGCTTAATAACTGATCTGTTTTATAGGGCTGTTGTTAAGGACTGTGGTAGTAAGTGAAGTGCGTTCAGTGCTCAAAATCCAATACAAAATACGGAATTGAAGTAGAGTCCCTGCAACATCAGGGTCAATTTCCTCTTGCAGTGCCCTTGTGTATACTTTGTATTCTTTAAGAAGTTTCTGTTTTAAAAGAATTACAATATATTCAAGGGAGAGAATCTTGGTGTTGAAACTGGCCTTCCTGCAACCTTCTTCTCTAGCATAAGGCTTTGGCAATATCCATGCCCTCATTTTTTATTCAGTGGCCTCATTTAGAGGGTAGGGGTTGCCCACTGTTCAGCACTATGGAAGAAGTTGCCCCGATCGTGCCAAAACACCACGTGTCAAAGTGTCCTCCGCTCTTTCTTCTCACCAGATCCCACAGTGCCACCTGTCGCTCACTCATGCGGCTGAAACCTGTTGTAAAAAGCTTCCCATCTTTCACAGTCACAGCCCGAACAGGACGAGACCCCTCGTGTGCGCGTGGCAATTCCTGTTGATGAGACAATAAGACAAATGAGACCTGCAAGAACAGTGGGACTGTTAGCCACATCTGAATGAGCCAAGTCTCTCCCACTTCTTGACAGTGAGAAATCATCCCATTTTGTTGGCTCATCCCCCAAGGCTTCTATCCCAGCACAGCAAAATCTCTCATTTGCCCAAATTAATGCGGGGGGGGGGGAGCGATTGCCTGAACAAAAGGAAACATTTCTCCATGATTAATCAACCTGGAAGACATTAGGATGGCCACTAGTGGAAATGGCTTTCAAAAGCTGGAGTTAAAATAACGAGAAATATGTCTGTCAGGAGTAATTTGCCAAGGCAAGTATGAAATACAAGAACATATTGTGGTACAGAGTGCTTCTGCTAAGGCTTTCACAGAAACCATTCCAAACTCGATCTCTGTCCCACCAAGTTTTCAGACTTTGCATCAGTCAATCAGCATTCTGTGACAACTCAGCCTGTTCAATCCTCCCAAGGTTGTTACGGGGCTGCCTCTCTCTTTTTCCTCTATAGATGTTATTGTGCTCCGGCAAACACTGAGATTTTCTCATGAATGGGATTGATTTAGTTAAATGAGGACTGAAAGACAGATCACAGCAGGGATAAATGCTAACAAGGAAGTCTCCAGGTTCAACAGTGGCATGCTTTTGATCGTGTGGGTACAAAAATCAAGGAATAAGTGATGGCAACATTTCTCCAACCTTGTGACTAAATACTATGCAACATAGACCACCAAATTAGTTCATGGCTGGAAATTTGGGTTCTCCAGTTGCTGGTCTTCAACACCTATTAGTCTCAGCCAGCACACCAATGGTACACACCAGTGGTACACACCATTGGAAGAACAGGAGACACTTCACTTCAGGGATCAGTAGATGAGCTAACCCGGGCAAGTATTGCTCTAACTTGCACCCTGATAAAACATCAGCCCCTTCTGGAATTTCAGACTTCCCAGTGTGTGAAATGTCTTCCTACATTTGCAGTGGTGCCCCCTGCCCGGGGGTCGAAAAGCCGCACACGCTTATCCCGGCAGGCTGTGCAGAGCAAAGAGCCATCCTGGTTCCAAGCTGCGCTGTAGATGGCATCTGGATGCAGCTCGTCCAAAGAAAGGGCCGCCTGTCCAACACTCACATCCCAGACTTTCAAGACATTGTCGCAGCCTGTAGCAGATGGGAAGAAGACAAGAATATAAGTAGGAAGATGGCAGATTGTACCTGTTGCCAAATGCCCAGCTTTGGACCTGGCCTTCCTTACCTGCACTCAGCAGGAGGTTCTGGGCTGTTGGGTGCCATGTAACAATCCCCACCCTCTTGGAATGGCCTTCAAGAGTCACCAAAGGTTCATTCAAAGATCTTGCAAGGCCAGTTTCAGGCACTGACCAGACCTGAAAACATGCAAGGCAAGAAGTAAGGGAGGATGTCAGAGAACTGGAGAGAAAAGACACCCCTTCACCTGGCCAGAAAAGTTTTGTCGTCTCATCTGCCTGCCCTGCCTTGGTGGTCAAGTCCAAAAAGTGACCCAGACGAGAGTGGGCCTATCTGTAATATTTTGGAGATGATCTAAGTCAATGCCTTCAAATGTGGCAGAGAACAGATTGCTTGCAAGGGACTCTGGAGCACATGAGGCAGGCTGTGAGGCATATTGCTTGGAGATGGTAAAAGATCCTCAGATAACCTTGCTTATCCGCCATCTGAATTCCCCATTTGGGTAAAGTTTCCCTTCACTTGCTATTTCTTTAAGCATCCTTGTCTATATGGCATTCATTTCTCCCATAATTCACTGCTCCTTTTCTCTCTTTGCCCTCTCTGACTTTATCTCCTATCCCTCTGCCTTTATCTCCTATCCCTCTGCCAGAATGGGATGTTCTGCTCATCCTTCTGTTTTCTTCCCTTTTCTGTTCATCCCTGACCTTTCTCGCTGAGGGAAAACAGTTCCGGCAAGAGCTGTTATCTACCAGTTGTAGACCTCAGAGGGAGTGGGTTTATTATGGGGAACTGCTACTGAAACAACCAAGATGGCAGGTTGGATCTGGGCTAACTCAATGCTCTCCAGATGCATTGGACCATAACTTTAATAAGCCCCAGTCAAAAATCTAGTGGCCAGGGATGACAAGGGTTTAGTTCCAAACCACAGAAATGTCTGGACAGCCTACTGCTACTCTTAAAAAAATCTACGCGTGTGAGATGTTCTTGTAAACAATATGGCAAGGTTGTGACCAGTGATGTCCTCAAGAGCAAAGATAAGGTACCTTTGGCTTTGCTTTGTCCAGGCAAATTGCTCAGTGGTGCCCTCCAGACCAGCCCTGAACCTAGTCCCTTTCCTCTCCTCCTCCCTTTTATTTATCCAACCACTCACCATAACAGTGCAGTCCTCAGATCCACTGGCAATAATGTGGTCATTGTGGGGGCACCACTCTATATCTAGCACAGGAGCTGTGTGCCCTGAGACCACAGGATGGGCCTTATCCAGGCGACCAGTCTGCAGAAATAGGGTGAGAGAGAGACAGTGAAGGTTGTTTTGATGCATCAAGATTTCTTATTTTCTAGTGTTTATACTCTGCTTTTCTGTATCCCATGAAACAGACATCCTGCTTCTAGAACATGGCCCATGAGAAGCTGTATGATGCAAACCAGCAGACGCTCCTGGGCTCATTATATTGGTGTAGGTGATCAGGGACAGCAAGCAATAGGCTGCCCAGATGTACCCCCCCAACCTTCTTGTGACAAACATCTAGAACTGGAACAATGTCTCTGATAGAGCTTTAAGATCTATCACAAGTACAAGTTGGCCAGCATCCTCCTGTCCCTATCTCCTTAATCTCCACTGCCTTACCAGCAGCTGATAGATAGAAAGGGTGGCTTCACACACCACCTCAAACCTGGGTTTACAAAACAAAACACAGAGAGGCATAAATAAGATCAATCAATCCTGGAGCAGGGCTGGCTTCAGAATTTGAGGGGCCCTTGGTCTTGTCATCTTTTTGCTAAGGTCAGCACTGAATTATCTCACTGCATTTGGAGAGAGCGGGCGAATGGGAAAGACAGAGAGACAAGGGGGCCCAGGGGTTAGAGGGAGCCCCTTACTAGGGAGGGAATGTGGCAGGGGCCTAACTCTGCTGCTGCCCAATAACTCATTATCAGGGACAGAAATTCTCATAAAAGGCTTTCTAAGAGTTAAACGTGAAGAAATCAGTGCGGCAAACCAATTGCCAGGCCAAATTTTTAGCATCCATAGCTACTAGGCGTCTGGATTTTTGCACCCCTCCCCCTTTACTTCCAGTTATAACTGCCAAGATCCTTCCATCTCTTTCTTAATTTCTTTCCCGCCTACCCCACTTTCCTTCCTTAATTAGCTCTTTTGCAGGCACGTGTTTATAGATCTTTCTTTCCACAGAGCTGTCTAACCCACCCCCTTCCCAGAATCCCACATCCTTCTGCATCCAGGCAAAATAACTGTAGGGTTGCCAAATGTTCAGCCTGGCACTGCTTCTGTGCCTTTAACAATAGGTGGATCCACAAACATTACTGCTGTTCCTATTTTTATCTATTCAGTTTTTACAACACTTAACATGCTGAATCATATTCATAGCAGATCACAACTTTTAACTTGTGAAAATGTTCTGTTGCTAACATCAGTCTCTGTTAAGAGCACTGGAAACAGGCCTCACTGCAAGGCGGGGGGGGGTTGTATTTTTTTAAAGTTTGCTTTTACGTCTTTTTTAATCAGTTGGCAGAGCCTTAAGTACCTGGGGCAACAGACTTGAGGATCTTGCCACCATTTGCTGTCCTTTCAGCGATTCCAGTGATTCCCACAATTTGTACTTTAGATTTCCATTCCCTGCCCCCGCCCCCCGTTCCCTCTTCTTGGAATTAAGATCTTATGGCCACAGGCCTGGTTGACATGGTGTCTGTCTCCTACATTCTCCTCCTCTCCTTTCCCCCACTGTTTGTTCCTTGCTTCCTAACAGTGTGAATCCTCTCCATGTCATGCTGGAGTCATGAGATACATCCTAGGGGCAAGCACAAGATCCTCACCAAGGAAGACTGGAAAAGCGGTCTACTATCTTGACCCACATCTAAAATTTTATTTTGAAAGGGGAAAAATGTAACAGCAAGAGTAATTCACAACAAGAGTGCTGTAGACATCTAATTTTGGGGAAATTTCATTTAGCTACTGTGGCTTAAAACATACAGCCAGGCACATGGAAAAGAGAAATTACGGGTTGCAGAAAGCAGGAGGGGAGACCAATCTTCTGCCTCAGGATATAGAGCTCAGGCTGATAGTCAGAGAGGATGGGAGACCTGGAGGAGCCAACTTGCAAACTTCAATTTTTGAAAGGGTTAGACCACGGGGATGAGAACCAGGACTGCTGGGTTTTGGGGACAGCCATTGAGGAAATGGAGTTCAATGTGAAACTAGAATCATATGAAGAAGCACAGAAGAGAACTTTAATTATTGCCAACTGATGTCGGTTCTTTTTCCTCCTGCTGCCCCAAAAGCCACTTCCTCTTCTTTCTTTTTTTTTCATCTTATTTCCGCAACAGGTCCTAACCATTTAAGGTAAAAAAAAATCAGCAGTTCCACCAATCCCTGCCCCCTTCTTGCACACTATGCAAGTCCCCAGAAAACCACAAAAAAGCAGAGGACGGGTAGGGCAGAAGTTAGATTTGCAGTTTTCTATGGGATTCTCTGGCAAGACATTGCACTGAGTGTAGCTGGAAAGAAGACCTGGGATAAGGAGGGGAAGTTTTCAAAGGTGCCTCAAGGATGGTTGCAAAGTGGGGGAGGGTACCTTGGACAATGGCAGGACCAGGAAGGCTCCTCCACCGCTGGCCTCCACAACGATGGCTAAGAACTGGGGGTTGACAGAGCAAAAATTCCCATCCCATGTCATTTGGGAAACGCGTATGTCGTCATAACATTGGTCAGCCTTCACTGGTTGTCCATAGACATGACGGAACTTACTGGACCTCACAACTTTACGGCTCATGGTTCCTGCAAAACAGCAGACCTAGGAGTAACCCCACACTGTCATCATCGGGAGCATGCAACCACCACAAACATTTCCTTATCGAAACCTTGACCCCAAGCGAGTCAGTGAAGGCCCTTAGCCCCAACTCACCACCTGCCAACCACGCTGATGCCTCTGCATCTCAGCCCAGCACCAACCCCATGCTGAAGAGCCATCTGGGATCGAGAAGATCTTATTATAGCTGCAGCTTCTACAGTATTTGCTAAAATCATGCAGCTGCAAAATATCATTGTGCAAACCAACCCCCTGCCCAAGTAGACCCCTCCATGAGACAAACCTCTTCCAACAGAATCAAAGAGCTCACTCAGAATACAGTAAATCTAAGGGACTGCTGCGTTCCTCAAGTCCTAAGCAGACCAACCACCCCAAGGATCCTGCAAGATGAGTATGCAGCCCAGTCCAATACCAGTTTATTCACAGATTAGCTCCACCAGACCTCAGCATTATAAATAACAAAGATGTAACCCTTAAATCCGCACATATTTTCTTCAGTGGAGCTCAGGATATGGTATATGGGGTACTTATTATTCTCACAACCACCCTGTGAAGTAGACTGGCTTGAGGAATAAAAATTTCCAAAAAGCCAGCTAGTTTGCTTCACAGTTGGGAAAAACGACTGCAGATTTCTCTGGCCAAACCCAATGCTTTATTTCACCACTCTCTGAGGTCTTCCATGTGCTGGACTATAACCCCCATCGTTCCCAGCAAGAACAGCTGGGCATCAGGTGGGAGAAAGCTGCTCTCTTTATTAATGACATCCAAATGGAAGAATGAAACAGCATCTACTTCCAAGACTGCTAGCTGATGTGGGCGGGAAAGCAAATGCATTCCCAATTCTAAATAAATCCAAGGGCAAATTAAACCATAGAAGGGCTCCTGTTTTCTAAGCTCGAAAAGACAAGCATGTCTCCCTGCAACCTACCTCACAGGGCTCTGTCTTTGCCCATCAAAGTTCTAAAGCCCCGATAAAATCAACAGCGCAAGAGTCTTCCCACATCCCATAGCTCTAGAGCCCCGTGCACAAAGCAGAGGGACACCCCAGTCCCCTTTTGGTTACCCCCAATCTTAAGCACTCACCTGCAGCTTCCGTAGCTGATGTACCACACAATGCATTAGGGATGGAGGGCTCAGGCTTTTTAAAAGCCATCGCCCAGGAACAGCGCTGGGAGGGCTATCTCTTAAAGGGCCAGTGTACAGAAAGCTCTCAACCTCTGCTTGTCATAAATACTTTTTCTCACTTCCCCTCCTCCTCCCCATTTCTTTAGCAACCTGAACATGTGCGTTTTTCAACCGTAAGGTGACATAAAATTGCTGCCTTATTTGCGCAAAATACAGCTGTACAAGATCCCAAATGAGAGGGGAAATGACTCCCTGTTAAAAGAATTGTGTGCAGGTTCATTTGGACAGTTCCAAACTGCACAGATCTCTTCATTCCTGATTGAAGAAGAGCCCTGCACAGCCCAGAGGCTTTCTACCTAGGTACAGTAAAATCTTATGGTTCCAAAAGGTGTCCTGCTGTACTTCTGTAAAAAATCGTAGCATGAAGCACCACTTCAAATATTTGCCCCCCTTCCTCCCTGATAAGCAGGGCCATGCCATCAGTCCCAGAAAATGGGCAAACGGTGGTACCAGCTGCAGAACTGAGCTCCCAAAAAGCATTAAACAGCACGCACAAAGACATTTTTAGCCCTTGTATTTGTGAAGCTATCTCAGTGTTGCTATCTCATTCAGGTGAATGGGGTTGCCCCAAAATATCACCCAGTTGCAGATGGAGGCTTGACCGTTAACCTCGTTAACAAAAGTTGGTTAACATTTCTCTACCGGCTACTGATATTCCCAAGTACTGGGGAGAATGCAATGATTTCACATGCATGCTTGCACATTGCACATACATGGATAGAACTTCTCAGTAAACATGTGCAGTTTCCTATGTATTCTGCAGAAAAGAAGGGCTAAGCCTCCAGGTGGGGGGCTGCCAGAGTGTGCCTGCTGTTTGCTGCAAAATAATTTTGCTTGTACAGGTTTAACTATTATATGGATCACTAATATAATAGAGGATCCCCACTCTATTGAGTTGCTGGTCACATTTGAAATTCTGACAGCCTGCTGTAACACTCACACACAGTGGCTGTCATAGTGGCCAATCTCTCACACAATCAAAAAACAGTGACCAGAAGCCCCACTAGTAAAGTTGCTCCACACCACCCCCTCCGCAGGGTGTTCTCTTCTAACTCAGCTTCATCTTGCCTTTTTTCTGGGCAAGCGAGCACTTTTCCACATAAACTACTAGGATAACCTCCCCCCCAATAATTTTTATTTTCCAAGGAAGAAATTTGAAAACCAATTATTTTACATATAACTCTACTACAGTTTTCACCTAGCTTCTTTGATCTGGGGTGTCTTATTCAGAGCCCTTTATTCATTTATGCTAATACACTGCTCAGGAATCTACCAACCGCTGTTTCCAAAGTTATCTTGTGTTACTCTCTGAACAAAAAGATTTTCCAAAATTTTCTGGGTAACAAATAAGGGCAGTTCCAATCAAATGAACTAATAATAGTACAAGAAATCCCATCAAGTCGAAACACCCACATTAAAACAAACATTTCAGCAATAACTGGCTGTGAAAATATTTTTATAATAATAATAATAATTTATTAAATTGGTATGCTGCCCAACTCCCCAAAACTCTAGGCAGCTCACAACAATCAAAACAAAGAAATTAGAATAAAACTGATAAAAGGAAGATAAAAGATGTTGAGAATGACAAACTAGATGAAATAAAATGAGGGGTCGCGCTGTCCCTCGCCCAAGGCCTGGGTGAAGAGCCAGGTCTTCACGGCTCTTCTAAAAACAGCAGAGTAGAGGCCATCGGATCTTGGGGGGAACCTTGTTCCAGAGCGCAGGTGCTGCTACAGAGAAGGTGTGCTTACAGGGTCCTGATAGATCATATTGTTTAATCGAAGGAACCCAGAACACACCAACCCTGCCAAATCAGATCAGCTGGGCAGATGCTATGGGAGGCAGGCAGGTCCCTCAAGTAACCAGGCCCCACGCCCTGTGGGGCTTTGTAAGTAAAAACCAGCAACTTGAATCACACCTGGAAGCAAACTGGCAACCAGTGCAGCTCACAAAGAGTGTTATATGGGCACATCGAGGCATATCCATCACTGTTCGCCCCACTGCATTCTGGATCAGTTGATGCTTCCTGGTGGTCTTCAAGGGCAGCCCCATGTAGAATGTGTTGTAGCAGTCAAGCCATGAAGTGACTAGCACGAGTGACTATTTATAGAGGAAACCCACCATCTTAAAAAGAGGCTAAGTTATTGCTAATTAATTATGATAATAAAGGCCTGGGAGATTATGATATTACTACTACCACTACTACTACTTTCCTGGCATTAAGAAAACATGAAGGCTGGGTTCCCACAAAACATTTAAGCTCATTTTGAATTAACCTGTTTTCTGAATGTGCAGAATATATTGAATCATAAACTAAACAAACAAGCTGTATGTTGCAACCTCCCCCTAAACTTAACATATATAGATGTAACCCCTAGATGTTTCACATGTTTAAGCAATTGTATGTTGCCAAGAAGTTCTAGGTAGGGTTCACTGCAGAACACATTTTCAACATGAGCAGCCATTTCAGACCTGCATTTTCTCATTTTTAATGTTCTAGCCATCTTCTCTATCTCAGACTGTGGGGAGAATTGAAGAAACGCGTCTGTGAAGATTTCAAAGGGCAGGTCATGGGGGGGGGAATCACATTTGATTTGATTTGATTTGATTTGACTTATTTATTAACTTTAAGATGGGGGGGTGGCCAGTGACATCACCAGAGTGGGCAGGGCTCTCCTTTTCAACCTGCTTTTATAATGGTTAAAGGCCAAATAGGGATGAAGTTGCACAGCGGCTTAATGCATGCATTTTGACTCTTTCTCTTCAAAAAACTGAAATTTCAGTACTGAAAGGATTTGCTGTCATATTCTGAGCTGCAAAAATGGGGCAGGCAGCAGAAGAACGCAACCCATGGGTTGATCACCCTGACCTACAAGAACAGGCAGGACTAAGATACTAATCCAGAAAGAGCTTTGCAGGTTATAAACAGCACTCAGAATATAGCCCAGAAACATCCAGAACCACTGAAAGCACTGAAATAGAGTAATAGGAAAATATTTGTAAAGTGAAAGTGAATAGCAGAGCACTAACCTGCAAAAGAAAAATGGCACAATTGCTGACACCATTAGTGGGGAAATTGGCAACTTGGGGAACCTCAAATAGAACCCAAGATTTTAGGGTGGAAGACAAAACAGTTTTCCTGAGTCTGGGAATATAATTCCAGAGTTGAACAATATCTGAGTCATCTCCATCTTTCCTGGTACCGGATTCAGATTGCCAAGGGGAATATCTTTTGTTATTTCTTTAAGCGCAGCCTTGAGATAGAGGAACACAGTTAGGCAATCATTCCAGATGAGTCACCTTCTTAAGTCTTTGGCAGCACAAACCACAGACAGACTTCATAGTATTTGAAAACTGCAAGTACAGTAGTTGCAGTCCAGTAGACCTTTGCTAGGAAGTCTTTCTTAGGAGAAGAAAGATGGAAGGCTGTGTGATTAGTATGAGGAGCCCTTTCACCAACACACGTCACATCGAGACAATTGTTGCCTTCTCTGTGACATCTGGCTTCCACTTTTCTGCTAAGCAAGCATGTGAGTGATGAGGAGTAAAGAGAGAAAGAAAAAACATTTTAAATTCAATTACACTTGTATTATATTCTATTTCAAATCATGCTACCAAAGTGAAAAACATTTGTCCTTGGAATCAATTTGTTCTCCACACTCCTAGCACTACAGATATTAAAATTCATTTAATACGTTAAAGTTAGAAGGACTCCATTATCACCACCTTGTGTGAAGTTAAACTTATTTTTATGCATTTAAACTTTCTCTTAAAAAATCCCAACACATTGCATTTAACAGGCTTTCTATCCACTGTTCACAACAGCTCACATCAACAGAAACTAAAACTTTTTTTATTATCCTGTATTTCTTTATTTCAAGGACCTCAAGGTTGGATACATGCTGTGCACATCCATCCCCTTTATTCTTACAATAATCCTTGAAAATTAAGGAAGAATGACTGGTGCTCCACACTGTATTAAGACAAAGGTGCACAGCTTTTTTTAGGCCAAGGACCATACTTGGCCTTTCAGTGGTGTGCCAGAAGCTGCACTCCCAAACACAGGTAGGACCAGGTCAAAAATTAAATTTGATTAACTTTTAACTATTTCTCTCAATGGCTACGATCATTTTCTTTCTAGGGTAGAAAGTTTTGGTGGGGCTTTGGGGGCCACCACTCAAGGGTTTGGGGAATTGCCTGCAGCTCAGATTATGCCCTACTATGCTAAGCCATGGTGGTTTAATCAAGGTTTATTGGGTAAATCACAATTGATTTTAAGCCAAGTCTTATAAGCTACAGAGGCTGGGTTTACACAATACACTAAACTAAACCAAGCTCTCACACTTCACTTTCACACTATGTGTGAACCCAGCCAGTGACGAGATCTAGATTACCCAATAGATGTTATGGCTAAGTATAGATGTTAAGCCAAGTCCCTCCCTCAGATTCTGAGCTAAACTGGTATTTACAGAGGAATGTTGGCCTGGTTGATCCTCTTGGACAATTTTCACTCAGCCTGGAAAAAGACACAGAGCTAAATCTCAGGCAATTTGGCCTCTCGGTTTATGATGTAATTTCATTAGGGCCTGAGGGAGGCAATGCAGAACCAAGACAGTGCGTTTTTGATACTGACCTTGGCATTAACCAGAGCACTCGTCCTGTGGGGATGGCTGGGTGGAAGACACTTATCCCAGCTACTTATTTAATGAACATCTTGAGGGTGCCACATCCAAGAGCTTTCTCTCTGACATGATTTAACCCTTACCATCTTTGCTGACAGAGAGGACATACAGCACAAACCTAATCAACTGGGGGATACCCAGTCCGTTATGTTTTACTGCACTGCCATGCAGCCTTGAGAACACACCCACTCACGTAAAATTGATCTGATAAGAAAGCTCCCCTTTTTCTGGCTGATGTCTCTTTTAGTATCTGGGAAGATAGCCAAATTCTGTGCAACTGCTATTACTACCAAGAAATTAACAGTTTAGCCTTCACCTGCTAGATATCGAATGCCATGTATGTTTTATTTTTCCCACGCCATGCTGGGAAAGATGGAAGAAAAGAGAAGAGGACTGACTCAGTTACAGTGGTGATGGGCGCACCATTAGAAGACCTGAAAGACCAGGCTAGGGGCAGATCGTCATGGAGAAAATCTATCTGTTCAGTCGCTAAGAGTCAAAACTGACTTGATGGCACATAATCAATGGTTAAGATCAATTAGCTTTTAATTTTAGACACCTCCCCTAATTATTATATATTAGATGCACATTTATATCTTATTGTTGCTTTGTTTTACTTTATTTTTACTTCCTTGTATTGCCTTATTTTTGGAATCTGAATTTTTCTAGTCTCTGACTTCAAGCCAGATTCTTGTCCAGAATTACCCTGCCTCTCCTATTTTCTACATCTGATCCTTTCACCAAATCTGAGAGTCAGGGCTGTGTACAACTGGATTAAATCAAAATAAAACATTAGAATAAAATAATACATCAGCAGCAAACCTACGAAGTTAAAGTAATAGATAAAAACAAAAAACAAACTTTTCTACTGGAGAGATTCTGAGATAGACATCTCCCACTCCTTCTTGAGTGAAGGAATTCCATAATTAGGGTGTCCTCACTGAAAAAGCTCTTTTCCTTGCAATAATGACCCTCTGAAATAGTTGCCTCCTGCTCAAAGTAAGATACTCACATATAGGCTGGCTGGATTACTATACTGCACTATTTTCCACTACAATCTGCCCCTAAATGTAACTCATAACCATCCATTTGGGTAGAATATGGTGGCTAAGTTTTTGATTAGCATATCTTGATTCATGCATGTTATGGCTATTCATCACAAAACTGAATTGGCTGCTGTCTGGACTTGATCCTAACCCCGAATACTAGTGCTTCCTTTTAAACAAGTTGGAATCCAAGTACCTGAAGGAGACAAATCCTTAAAACCTAAAGTTTTAGAACCTGCACTCTGATAACTATTTAGAATCAGATTAGTGATAGCCCTGTTAGCATCGTTTTTTTCAGTCTTTAGTTAATGTAAAAACAACCACAACCCGTTTCTGATGGTGTAATGTTCATGGAGCAATCAGATATTAATAATGTATACTTTTAGAGTGATAAGAAAAACCATACTGTAGTTTTAAATTATACAGATATAAACAATATATTTGATGTTTTCAGGAGAGCTACATTGGGAAAATATTTTTTCAAAGTGAGACAAAGTAACCCATTAAGGCCTATCAGGAATCACGTTCTGATTATCACTGACTCAGCCGCTAGCCTGTTCCAAGTCTGCTTTCTCTCGCTTGCGGGTGGAGTGAAATCTTACCTTTTCCACCGTGCCTTCAGCAAAAAGATTAAGCATGTGGTTTTTGCTATTACACAGCTTATTCTGAATCCTGTTTCAATTGATGGACTTTCAAATTTGCTAGTTGGTTTCCAGCCAGACATATTTTAGAAAATGGATTGGGTTTATTTTTATTGTAAAGCACTTCAAAACCTTTCTGGCTAAAAGGGAAGGCAGAAGGTTAATAAATATAGCAAATAAGGGCAGCCTGAGGAGGATTCCTGTTGCTGCACAACTGAAACTCGGTGTTTCTTTGCTTATTCATGTTTAAAACAGAATAAGAATCAGATTAGCTTTAAAAAATAGAGGCTGTATTCCCACCATACACTAAGCCACAAACGAGACCACTACTCTTTAGCTCAGGGCTGGAAAGTCTGCTTCCGTCTCTTTGTAGCAGATTGCTGAAATCTACAGCGCCATTCCCACCATTTCGAGGTGGAAACCCCTGAAAACCGCAGTGCTGCAAGCAGTCAAATTGCCCTATATCCCCTTCTAAAATAAAACCTCCCATTGCACATAGCCTCGCCTCCTGGCCCTTCCGCAAAAGTCGCTTTCCCTCGCTGGAGCCTAACTGATCCTGCAAACCCAGGCAACGTATTTAGCAGGACTTTGCAGCGATCCGGATTCAAAGGCGATTCATGGAGCAGGAAGGGCAACTCTTTCCACCAAACGCGCTTGACGGAAGGAGTTGCCGACAGGTGCGCCAAGCGTCTCTCCCAAACCGCCTTTTTGCTTTCCAACTTGGATCGCTGCGTAGCCCTAGTAGTCAATGGGTGTTCAGTGGATCCTGCGAAATCAGAAGACTAGTTTGAATAGACCGTGGCTAGGTTAATCAAGGAACCCCTGTCGTGCGCCCCGACCATGCAGCCACTTTCCATCCCCGTTGCCGGGATTCGAACCCGCGCTCTCGACGGACGGACGGACGGCATCCCTTAAAACAAGCCCAGATGCACAGCATCCAGAAGAGGATTGGAGGCGCGCTGAGCCAAAAGGCGGGGCCCAATGGGAGTCAAGCGCGCGCGAGCCCGAGGGTGGGGCCTCATCGCGGTGTGGAATGTTTTGGGCGCGGCGCTTCCGGGTTCGGCTCCTGACGTTTCTATCCAATTCAGGCGCGCCGCGGCCCGCAAAGCGCCAGTCGGCAAGCCGGACGCATGCGCTGTTTGAAGGATTTCCAGCCGCAGCTCCGGGGAGCGCATGGGCAGTGCTTCTCTTGCCGTTTCTTCGACGAGCGCATGCGCAGTGCTGTCGGGCGGTGTCGGTTCCGGGTAAAGCGGGGATAGGAGCGGCTGCGGGAGCTTCTTGATTAGATCAGCCATGGCTGCAGCGGCGGCGACAGCGGCCCCGGGTGGGGCGGGAGCCGTGCCGGTGCCAGGAGTGCCAAGGCTGGGAGTGGAGACAGTAAAAGGGCAGGCTTTTGACGTGGGACCACGTTATACGGACCTGCAGTACATCGGCGAGGGGGCGTACGGCATGGTCTGGTAAGTGAGCGCGAGCCCTGCAGATTGGCCCTGAACGGGAACCATACCTGGGCTAAGCGTCCAAGATTTATCTGGCGTGCCTGTTCCTACAAGCTGGCTTCGCGCGGCCACCGTACCCTGCCTCAGAAGCTCCCGCCATATTGTTTCTTAGTTACCGAAGTCCTACAAGGGTGCATGTTGTTTTCCTTGATCCGGAACCTGCTTTCCCCAACTCCCTTATGGGCCGCTGCCCGCAGTGTCTCTTCCTTCAGGACGCGCGTCCTGGGACTTTGGATCCATTCCGTTGCAGGGTGTGTTGCAGATGCTCGCTGTCAAAACTGGCTTCCAAAGCAAGAGCAGTCGACGCAGCCAGCCGTGCCAAGTCATTGTTGTATTCTGAGCACCTCCCTGAAACCAGTCCTCGCAGACTGTTATCTTCCTGTGCCAATATTTGCAGATTTCCTGTAAAATGTTCAGGGTGCTTTGCAGCTGGGTGTTGGTTTGCCAACCTAAAGTTACCAGTAACTGGTCTTCAGTTATACTCCTGTGCTTGTTAATGTCCAGCTGCAAAAAGCTGCAGAAGTTGCCACTTTCTTTTTCTTTGTCGGTGCAGCGCGCTCAATAAAACAGCCTGATGAACTTTACCTAGTTGCATAATTCATAGTGCCCCAGGAGCCCTTCCCTGAGAGTTGGCAAGCCTGTATCTCTCCATTAAATCTTTATGCCTTATAGTTAGTTATTAAGCTTCACAGCAGCCCCCATCCAGGTGCCAACCTCAGACAGCGCCTGGTCTATTTAGATCACTATCCCTGCAGGCCAAATATACCTTCACCAACAATACTAAGTGCGATATACATACTAATTGATCTAATCATAATATATACTGGCTTCTGTGCTGCGATCATCATTTGTTTACATGAAAGCTGGGCTATATTAAGCTTAGGCCTTTCTTGAGTGCTGCACTGTTGATACAATGACTTTCAGCATGTTTATTGAAACGTTCCAAATAGCCACTCTATTTTCCGTCAGTAACTTGAGTCTCGTATCAGACTTTCCATATTCTTAACGCTCCACTTTTTTCTGAAATACTCGTAATCACATTGCAAAAGGTTTGGAACTAGTATACTTTGTATTAGTCAATACAACACACACATATACATCCCCAAGTGTTTCTGTATTGGAATCTTTATTTGGTGGTAGTAACTGTATTTACATGATACACTTATCAAGTAACCTGATTTTCTAGGTTAGCAAGACCTATTTCCTATCAAGATCTCAGAGGTCTCACTTCTGTTCTGTAGCCTTGGTAACAGCCAGCACTTTCCTCAGATTGTAATAGTTGTTGTCCCACATTGGTATAATGTGCTATTAGTGTTTTCTCCTTCCTTCTTTGCCCTTTTGTTGAAGTCCAAAATTAAGATAAACATTCAAGCTTTTTGGTGGATTATCTTGAGTACAGAATGTTTGTTCCTCTCATGAATTTCTAGGGTGATCCTCTTCTATTGGGGAGCGAAATGATTTCTCAGTTTTGATAGTGAAAGTATGCAGATTTAATATATTGAAGAGTCCAGTATGCATTTGCCTTTATTTCTTTACAGCTCGGCATATGATCATGTCAACAAGATCCGAGCTGCAATCAAAAAGATCAGTCCTTTTGAGCACCAGACATACTGCCAGCGCACACTGCGAGAGATCAAGATACTCTTGCGTTTTAAGCATGAGAATGTCATTGGCATTAATGATATTCTTCGTGCACCTACCATTGATCAGATGCGTGATGTGTATCCTTGCAGACCAGTGTTGTGTCTTTTCATGTGTGGAAGGAGATCTGCCTGGAAGAAGGTTTATACACAAAGAAAATGTGTGTGTTCTATAATAATCTATATTCAGTCTTACTCTGGTCCATTTTTTAATGAAATGCACCACTCAGAAGCTTTAACTCACATTGAATATAATGATGTACAATAGGGTGCTTGTATGATTATGCCAGCATCTGGGCTGGCTTCCACTTGCCTTCTGGGCATGGTTCCAGGTGTTCCTTTCTTAATAATTAGATCTATGAAACAGTTGTCTCTTCTTCTCTTGTGTCCTCTTAGATTAAGAATGCTTTTTCAGTCGCATCCCTTTGCTTAGCAGCCCTGTAAAGAGATGATGGTTTACTTTATACTGTAGATGAATTGAACATAGTGTAAGTCATTTCTTTCTGGCTTTAATTGAGCTATTAGAAGCAAACTCAATGTGTGGCTGGTGTGATCATTAATCTGACCACCTGTAGAGATACTGCTTTCTATACCCTTTGCAGGAAATTACTTTCCTTGACAGCTTCCCTGCCTTCCCCTTTCCTGCTGGAGAGGGGCACTATTTATCTTTTTTCAGATACATAGTTCAAGATTTGATGGAGACAGATCTCTATAAGCTTCTGAAGACCCAACAGCTCAGCAATGACCATATCTGCTACTTCCTCTATCAGATTCTTCGAGGGCTGAAATACATTCACTCTGCCAATGTGCTTCACCGAGATCTGAAGCCCAGCAATCTTCTCATCAACACCACTTGTGACCTGAAGGTGGCACTCTAAAACTTTTGCTAGGCCTTCTTCACCTGCCAACAATCTCTTCCTCACTTTATTCTGCAGTGCAATTAATTCTCCCTTTATTTGGGGTTTGCCACTCCATGGTTCTCTCTCTTCTTACAGATCTGTGATTTTGGCTTAGCCCGAATTGCTGACCCAGACCACGATCACACAGGATTCTTGACAGAGTATGTTGCCACTCGCTGGTATCGAGCTCCTGAAATCATGCTTAATTCCAAGGTAAATTAAGCAGAATGAAGAGAACATGTAAGCCAGAACACCTGAATCTAAAAGCATTGTTACCATATCAAATCTAGTTTCTCTTTTCAGATAAAAAAGGTAATGCCTTGCATAGCCATGAAGAGAACATGATTAAGATAATTCCTAAGCCCAGATCAGCCTGGCAAATGGATATGTATAATGTTTCAATGCACAGCAAAACCATTTCTTACTATTTTCTTTCTCTTAGTTGTCCAGTTTACCATAGCAATCCTAGCATACCTAACCAACCCAGAGGCCTAGCTGAAGGATGCTAGTATGAGGAAGACTGCTGTATAGGTTAGGCTGGGAGAAACTAAGTTTTCCTGAGAACTTTTATTTTGCTGGGTCCACAATTTAAGATGCTTCTCTTATGAGGAAGTGTGAGTTTTCATTGCACTAAAAAGTTTATTTGCTAGGATGGAATAGCATCCATGTCAATAAAGGGATTGCTATGCATGGCCTAATAGCAACTGAGAGCAGAGTGGGTTAGAATCACAAATCCTAGCTTCTGTTTCTGTGTCTTCTCCCCCTACTCAGGGCTACACTAAGTCCATTGATATATGGTCAGTGGGTTGCATCTTGGCTGAGATGCTGTCGAATCGACCTATCTTTCCTGGCAAGCACTACTTGGACCAGCTCAACCACATCCTGGGTAAGAGGGAAGGCAACTGAGCAAAGCTTTTGAGAGGGTGGCATAGGAAAGGATTTGTTCGGAGCAGCCTCTTGAATCAGTTGTGTAGCTGATTCTGCCTTTCTCCTGGTCTTTGGGTATACTCTGCTTGCTGCATAAGGCCTCCCTCATTATAGGTTTAATGCCTGTTTCTCCTCTAGGGCTTGCAGTATCCTAGATATCCAATGGCTCTCTGTCCACCCATCTCTGCAGGTATTTTGGGTTCCCCGTCTCAGGATGACCTGAACTGCATCATCAACACGAAGGCTCGCAATTATCTCCAGTCATTGCCTCAAAAGCCCAAAGTTCCTTGGGCTAAACTGTTCCCAAAGGCTGATCCCAAAGGTAAGGGAGAAAGAAGGCTGAAAACGTGCAGCTTCATCCTGTGAAGTTGAACTACTGTATCCTCAACTATCCTGTAAAACTTTCGCCAACCATACATCTACTAATATGCAGTGTAGGGCCCAATCTTGATTTTGGATGAAGACTGTACGCTTCACTATTTAGAAACTGGCTGTCCGTTTTAATGTGGTTGGAGATAGACTTTGTGCAGAAACCGAATGGTGTGAAAATTTAGTTGCTTAAACAATACACGTGGTACAATACAGACAGAATGGCCCTACATTTCACTTTCTGCCTTCTTTCATTCAGGCTGTTAGGGTTCCAGTAATAATTGGCAAGAAAAGAGAATTCTTCTGTCATTTAGGGAGTATAAGAGGGAGTTTATGCTGAAATGTGCATTCTCTGTAATTGAATGCAGGAAGCCTAACTTCCTTTCTCTCCCTTCAGTTTCATCTCACAATTTGAAAATCTGCATTCTAGACCAGCCTTCCCCAATGTGATAACCTCTAGATATGTATACTACAGTCAACATCATTCCCAGCTTTCAGTGGAAGATACATGCTGAAGGAGAGAGAGAAGAATATATAAGCATCTTAAACTAATTCTAAAAGCCTTTTAGAACTAAGTTGGCTTGGTTCACATTTATGAGCCATTTTTCATATACAACTGGTTCCCAGAGCAGCTTAATTTGTAACAGAAGCAGGCAGTCTTTTTGTGGCTGAAGGACACAGGGTATGTGGTGGTGGTGAAGTAATATTACTGGAAGAGGGCCAAATGTTTTGTTCCTTTTTTGGACCAAATATTGCATTAAGCCTCAAAGATCAGTGGTTTTGCTTTGGCGATGGG